ATATATATATAAGAAATTGTATGATTTTATAATTTACTGATAATAAAATTATTCATTTTTAATCCAATATGAAAGAAACTTAAAAGAAGCATAATTTGATTGTAATTTAAAAATTCTTATTTATTATTATTTTTTAAATTGTGGATTAGTTTTTATAATAAAAAAATTAAACGTGGAATTACATCAATTCGCAAAATAGAATTGATGTTTGAAAACACCTTTACTACCGTGCAATGTGCCGTGCTTAAGCGCACGAATTTCGGGCAATTCAATTGGTAAACTTTAATGTCCAAATCAACGTAGATTAACTTCTCGGTTCAACTTATTCTTCATCTTTTTCTAGTTTTAAGCATTAGAAAAAGATGAAGAGCAAGTAAATCAAGATTAAAGTATTATAAATCTATGTTGATAAAATCGGGTATAAATCTTTCTCATTTAAAAACTATTGTAGCTTCGACATTTTGATATTAGAATTTTCGTCTCAAAATGATCTCAGAAATCTGCTATTAACGGGTGTCATGCGAAGTCTGGGACATCCTCTGTGTGTATGTGTGTGTGTGTGTGTGTGTGTGTGCGCGCGCGCGCGCGCGCACGCGTGTATGTATGTATATGTGGATATATGTATATACGGATATATATGTGGAATATTCTTTCATTACCTGCTGATCAACATGGCCACCATGACCGGCGTCCAGCCAAAGTAGAGCACATCGTTGGTGTATTTGTTTTTCTTGGCGATCCACACCCAGAGAGGCGTCACAAGAACATAACAAGCTATGACGAGGGGTGCCACCCAGTCCTGTTTGTCTATGCATTCATAGAGTATGGTGGCGATCCAAGAGAGAAGCGCCAGCGACGTGATATCCCCGAGACTGGCGGCTATCGGTGTGGCTACGTTGTCTGGATTGATATGGCAATGACGAGAGAAGACGATGACGCCCGCGGTAATAAGGCCCAAAACGAAGGAAGCGAGGGAAGCGGTAACCAGACTGCTGGCGCACAACAGATAGGCATGGTCCAAAGAGACCGTACCATTACGGAAGGCACCCATCACGATCGCCACTACGGAACCCAAGAAGCCCACAACTATCGCTTGACACTATGCACACGATTAAGATAATTTTTATTTTATATCTGAATAATAAGATCTTCGGATAAGAGAATTTGATGAGACTTGAAAGAAATAGATCTCTAAGCTTGCTTATTTTTTTAAATAGCATACTCAAAAGAATGTTGAAAATTGCGAGTTTTTACTCCATCCGGAAAAAAACAGTTTGGTTGGCTGTAAAATTTTATTCCAAAACGAACGAATCAAAAGTTTCGATTGAAATTATTAGATTTCTATTTAAATTAATCAGAAGTCTTGTTAGTTTAAACTAAATTCTGATAACTTCAATTTCGGAATTTCTGATTCGTTCATTTGAAAACAGAATTTTATAGCCAACCAAACTATTTTTTCCGTATCGGCAAAGAAAATCGTTTTCCAACTAATTTTAACAAAAATTTAATTCAACTTAGTAAGTTTAATTTATAAAATTGTTTAATTTGTAAGATTTCCGATACTGGAAAAATAAAAAAGTAGTTTTTCGAACATTCATATGTACAATTAGCAGAAATATATACAATTGGCATCTTTTTTCTAAATTTTATACGGCAATTTTAATTTGAAAATATATTTCATAATTCGCGCGCATTGAAAATCCATCAACATAATCGTTTGATTGCAATGATATTTTATATATTTGAAGAATCTTCTTTAATTTTATATGAAAACTTGGAACATTAGTTGATTCTATATAGATACCAGATTATTAAAACGTACATGTCATTTGTCCTATGGTGTGTCTCGTGAGGAGTAACCAATTCGTATTCGCGTATGTACGAGAGATCATACGACAAACAAAAGTCGAGTTTCCGAAGGCCGTCGTCTATCATCATCGTCGTCAGTGTTGAACACATAATAAAATAAAATTGTGGTGCCAACGATAAGACGATGTAGCGGAGCGTGCGAAGCTTAATTCGTTAAATCGGCTTGGAGAAACGTTATTCGCTTTCCCAGAATTGTGCCGTCGGCTTGTTTCACAATTAATTGCTAACTACAGGTCAAATTGCTACACATAGACGCGATATTCTCTGTAAATTTTCCGTACCATTTTCCGAATGTATCGATAATAACAATTTTAATGTCGACAGATAGTAACGATTTATTCGTGGATTTACGACACTCTCATTAATCAATATTAGTTGTCGGAAAGGTTTTCATCATTGGAAATTCATCAAATTGAACTTGAACCTAAAAGACATGTATTCGCGGGTATATTTATGCTGGATGATAAGGATGCTAGATGATAAGGAGCCAGGTGATTAATAGCGCAGAAGTTTTCCGCGCATTGCGTCGCATAGTTGTTAAGCGAGACGTAGTAAACGCGTGTTCTTCGGAGAAAATGAGAAGTCGAGCAGATCAGCTGAGAAGAGAAATTCCAAAGAAAAAATACACAAAACGAGCCAATATGCGTTTTGCAATGTATTCGAACGGAATTAAGTTAGGTGTCCCTCGTATGACAAACGTATGGCAAATATCGGTGCTTAATTGTGGAACATCTAGTTAGAACCAGTTTCGCGAAGGTAAACTCCCACAGCTAAAGGAGCGAGAGGAGCGTCCGCGGAGCAGCGAAGGCGTTTGCTTTAAAACTTTATGCGTACCAAAATAACTGTCATTGTGCTGTCTTCGACAACCCCTTATTTTTATTTTTGTACGACTTTATACTTTCAAAACTTGCGAAATAACCAACGTTACACTCGGATACATTTAAGTCGATTACCGCGAGAAAATAACGTGAATCAATGTCAATTGCAGAAAATGCGATAAAATTAGCTAATTAGAAAAATTAGCTTTTCAGTTTCCGATTGAATCAACGGTTGCTCTTACTTGTATTAAGACGAGATTTCCGATGATCATGTGCCATTGTTCTTTCGGCATGTCCATATGTCCGAGATTTGCTTGAGTAGAAAGACGAGATGCTAGAGTCATTTCTAAATTACCCTTCAACCCTAGAAGTGCCGGTACCAAAATCATGAGCTCATTGACTTTCTCGAAGACTACCCAGTGCTATAAAGAGAATATAAAAATTAAGTTAATAGAGTATTTAAAATTTTTATCAAAATTATTTATTATTAATATTATTAATTTGAAGTCAATTTTCCTCGATTTATCACGATAAACGTATAAATTCTGTGCATACTTGAACGAGATCGAGGACTAATCCAGCGCCTACCATGCCCAGACCAGCGATGAGAAACGGTATAAAGACTTGAATGGTGATCGCCAGGTATGACTCGAGTGGCTCATCTTCATCGGTCACACCATAAATCTTGCTCTCGGCGACGACGTCCGGTAGTCGGCCACCGTCGACGCCCTCATCAAAGATGGTTACCTCGAGGCAGTCTTCAGTGGTGTGTCCACCGGTAGTGGAATTCGCCGCGGTGGCCTGTCCATTGGTGATTGCGGTGGTAGTAGTAGTGGTGATAGTTGTAGTATCCTTTGACTCGGAAGCAGTCCGCGAGCGGCCATCAGTCGGTGTCATCCTGTGGGAGTTCTGTTTCTCCGGAAGCAAGGGCTCCTTACATTGCTCACTGTACCGACAGAAAGGAGAATATCGTTATATTTTCTTCAGCACAGATATTTTACAACAAAGAGTCTCATCAATCCTTAGTTATGGTCGTCAATGGGAATTGTTGCGAATTGTTACAGTTTATCAATATCTTGAAACAAAATTATCAGACGTCATTTTGTATTTTACTAACGGAACGATGGAATGTTATATTGCGTTTACAGATTATTCGTCTTTTTTAAATTTACAGATTTACTCAAATTACAATATGAGAATCAATTAATATAATCAATTAATATATAACTGATATAATGTAAATCTTAAAATAATGCTTAGTAAAGTTTTTCTATGAACCATACATAATTTAATATTTATTATTTAATAATATTAATATTTATTGATATCTACAAATAGATTTCAATCTAAAAAATAGATTTCAATTTGAGAAATTTGTCGCAATCATTGCATTTCTAATTAAAGAATTAAGATCAAGCGATTGTTATGATCGGTGCATAAAAAGATCGATACCTCCTTTTAATTTTACGAAATGAAAAAAAAAAAATAAAAAGAACATCTGAATTAAATGATGCAAGATAAATCGATGCCGGATAAACGAGAAGCATGTTCCGTTCGTGGGCGATCGATCGTCGTAAATCCATGATTAATTACGATTATTATACAATTTTTTTTATTCACGACCCCATGTAAAACATTGTCACGCTTGCTGCTCCTCGATTTTTGAGTATTCGACGCCAACTCATGTGTTTTTGTCTTAGCATTTTGATTTTGTTATTTTTTTGTAATTCAGACATCGAAAACTTTTCGCACAATACTTTTCATATATACTTTTCGCATATACTTTTCAACATACTTTTCGAACTTGACGCCGATATTGGCAGTCTGGAACGGCTGTGGCTTGTCGGGCGGTACTCGTACCGGATGTTGATGCACCTGGCTCTCTATCATCTTCCTACTGAGGACTGCGTGATACTCGCTGCCGCGAATATACAGCCATTCTCCTTTGAGAATGATAAGACTCGCGCCGCCGCCGACGACGACGATAGTTATATTTCAGGACACAAATAACGTAAATTACGTAATTATGCCACGGAAAGAGTTGCTATCTCTTTCTCTCTCTCTCTCTTCTGTCTTTTTCGTTGATTAGATTCGCTCAGGAATGATGGTTAATCACAACGAAAATCAAAATTTGAATTATCCAACGATTGAAGAAAGGTAAACAGTCTCTTCCTTTCTGAAGACCACTGTCAAATAATCGTCATGTTAAACTAATTGTGCGATTAGTAGTACACGTGAAATACAAATTAATCAGAGTTCCTTAGAGTTGTTTTAGAGATTGAAAGAAATCTTAAGACTTGAAAGCTCTCACTCAAAATATCCATAGTGATATCATATTATATTAGTGTTAATTTCTTAAAAAATTCGAAAAAAAATTGATATTTTCAGAACGCATGTAATTAATTCCACGATATATTGAAATTGATATTTATCAAATAATTTTCTGCAGACAGATTGTTTGAGACACGAATTTTACATCACTCTGAAAATTTACCGCGGAGCGTTTTTGATCAATGTAAATTAAATTTAACCAGATAATTGATTTCTTAATTTTCGAATCATACTTGAGAAATCTCATGAAACGATATCGTGAAACATACGTATCATCATATGTCTGGAGACACTTTGATTACGTGGTTCCGCGATTTTGCATCGCGTTTATGAGTACTTATCGTGTGTATCATGCAAATAGTAGTCGCGAATAGAGGCATTTTATACATACTATGTGTATCTCTAATTAGCACGTAATACGCTCAATTTCCTCTCGCTTAAGTTCCGCGTTTCGCAAGGAATTGCGATAATCTGTTTAGTGGTAATCTGTATCCCGGTAGTGCACGTGTGTGCACCATTATATAATTAAAGTAATTTGCGTGGATGACGACTATATGTTAATAAGTCATTTGCGACGTCACAATCTATTTAATTGTTATCTTGTCTTGTCTTATCTCGCCGCAAGTGGCGATCGATGTGAACGGATTTTTTTTTACATAAAAACATGAGATTTTCGACTTTATCATTTGTATGCGGTCGATATCGCACTTCGATATCGTTGCACAGCGAAATACGTCACGACGATAACAATGTTCAATCGTGCGGTGACCTTACGCGCGGAAATTGAAATTACGAGAACGACTCGATTAAGACCAAATTTCACGACCATTCGATCAAGCAACATTGCTTTCATAATCTTAATTGTAATATCGATACTTTGAGACAATGTCAATTTTTACACACACACACACACACACACACACACACACACACACACACACACACGCGCGCGCGCGCGCGCGCGCGCACACACACATACACATACACATACACATGTTACGTATGTTACAGCTCGAAAGAAAAAAATTTCCACATGCTATATTACTATATCTGTATAATAAACAAATTGTATATAAAATTGCTCTCTTCTTGTTTTATCTAATTCCTGTTTATTTTCTATTATTCTGTGATTTAAACATTAGAAATTCGCAGGTTTTCTTAATTTCATTTAATCAGCATTTTTTGCAAAATTTAATGATATTTCATTTTCTCTTGTCATAATATAAAGATTATGAAAGTAGATTCAATCGCGACAATTGAGATATAGACCGTTGGTTGATCGATAAAGATCAATGTCGAGTAGGGAAAGTAGACCACAATCGCATTTAATATTCATTGTCTGATTAGCTGCACCTTCACGTCATGCATCAATCAACTACTGGATCTGAAAAGTACATTGCATCGTACGAATTACATGAGTTCTCGTGACCTTAACCTACGCGACGCGCGATCAAGTCGCTTCGTCGGAGAGCCTCGACGGAGCGCTCGGTTATCTGCATTTCGCGTCCTTCATCTCGGTCCTGTCGCGATTTCCCGAATCATTGGCGAACAGGTAGCGGCCGACATGCGGCGCGAACAATGCGGTCTCGAAAATGTAAGTTCCACGATCTTCGCACGTAAATTCTCGCAATGTTTCTCCGACTGGGTTCTCTTTCTCTTTTCGCAATTCCTTTGGAAGACCTTTGGAAGAAATCTTCCAAAGATATTGACGAAATTTCAGTGTCTGAAATAACGATTATCATGGATGTGAATCTCGCCTCGTGTCGAATCGGATCCGTAGCATCGTGCATACACGAAGTGACGCCCTAAAAAGACTGTGATTCCATCTGCGGAATGTCAAAGACTTTGATTCACATGACTTAATTCATTTTTCTAATATTTAAAGAAATTAATCGAAATCTTCTTATCCTTTTCAACTTTGATGTATTTATTTTTTCAATTAATCTTCTTAAACTGTCCTATCCGATCATTTTCACTATCATTTTTATATTCTTGAGTTTCATCCGCGCAAAATTTTATTTGTACTTTGCGTCAGTTATTACGACTTGCTCATGACTTAAAACTCTTAACGATACGCGAGAATCGATCCGAACCGACTGAACGCCAGTCTTCGGAAACTTTTTCGCTAAATAAAACGCGAGTAGCAAGGTTTCTTTCTAAAATAAACCGTGCTTCCTTGTCGGAATAGACAAAATTTCAACTCCAAATGGCTGCTCCGCATCTCTCGCTCGCACGTACCTGGATCCTCAGGCGTGGTTCCAGACGAATGTTCCTAACGTTTCCCACGAGATTCCCCCTTCAGTCCAGGTTGTTGATCGCCGGCTTCGTGGCCCGGTGATCGGTTCTTTGGCGCGAGATCAGCCTACGTCCAGCATCTGATGGTGATCACCCGGTGGCCTGGTGCGAGGCCGTTTCATTCTACGGTTACATCGCGACTGATCGCGATCGCGCATCGTGCTCGCATGCATGCATGCCTTCTTAAAACTAGTTTGGGAATACACGAGCTTCTCTGTCTGTGTGAGTCGGAGTGGCACGCCGCCGGAGGGAGCAGGCGCACGTTTATCGATCCACTCCGACTCCCCCCCCCCCCATCTCCCGTCACAGACTGTCCGCAAACTCCTTGCGGCTGCACCGCCATTCCGACTCACTTGCGCGTCAATGGCGAGTCACCCCTCGCTCGAGAATTTCTCTGGAACGATCCGGAAGGGTTCCTCTTTTCAATTTTGTTGTGACGTCACTCGTGCTAACCTAATGTCATCTCGATTACGTCATTATATGGTTCGAATCGTGTTGTCCGTGTTATCCATTGATTTTGCCGCGAGTGTTCCACCAACGTTTCCTGTCATTTCCAAGAATCGAAGAAAACCACCCTAGTGTTTCATATCTTGTTTCTCTTCGGAATTCCCTATCGCGAATAGTTGGCGTCATCGTTTCAATTGCATTCGATGCATTGTACTGTATATTATCTATAATTTTGCTAAATCTATCCTTGCTTAACGTTGCTTAATAATTTGGAAGATTTGTTTTTACGTTTAAAAGAATCTAAATGAATGATATTTGATCTTTCACAGTGTTCTTACAAAATAAAATCGTTAATGCGTCTATTTTTTAATCAGATCTTTCGAATTTGAAGTTCGTAGAGGGATATAATTTTTTTAAATGTCGGTAATATATAAGTAATCAATGTCTCGTGATCTTGTGACATCAAACACATGGCACTTGTATAAATATCGATTACGTCATCAATCAACAGCTGATGCATACCGAAGCTTCTAGTTCATTCATGGATTTACGGCGTATTACGTGAGATCGTTGCATAACTATTTCAGTATAATTTTCGTGTTTAATTGCTTTTATGCGCTATAATTCGATGATAGCAATAATTTACCTCAACAACAATATTTTGCCAATTTTCATTTTGTATGTGGACATCATTAAAGCCAGACATAATTACGTCAATCTGGTTATCGATTACGCGTATTCTACAGATTACAAAGCACGAAACTCTTTATCCTCTATTACAGAACCCTTTGTACAAGTGATTAATATACATAAGCTTCTTTCTCTCAATCCATTTTACTTCCACACCTATAAGTTACAATTTGTCTAATTCAA